ATGTATTTACAGTGTAATTGTGTGAAGAGGAATTCATTATCATGGTATACAGTAGCTGACAATAAGATTCATGCCATGTGAAGGTTATGTCAGTATAATATGCTTGCGGTACCTAAGGTATCATTAACAATGTAGTTCACCACAAGTATTTATTGCTCTTTATGTTATTTATATATTGTCTTATTATATTTTATGCTATTTGTATATTCTATAATTTCTCATTTTTTCTGCACCATGTATCCCTATGTAAAAGGTGCTTTATTAGGTTATATTACATTATTATAAATAAGATGCCCAATTATATAGAAATTATTGAAGACAGATCATGTACCTCTTAATAAGACCTTAATCTCTATGATTTCTTCCTGTAAATATAGGACATGGTTTTTAAAGCTTAGAAAGCATATCTTTCATAGTGCAATTAAATGGTCTGACTAGGCCTACATCAATGCAGGAAAATACATGAAAGTGTCTCAAGTGTTGAAGACTGGTTTAGTTTCATAACCTCGCTGTCGTTGGGTAGCTCCTGCAATGTTATTTAATACTTGAATTTCACCAGGGAGTTTGAGTTTGTGTTCCATAGGCTTTTAATACAATGACTGGAGTATATGATAATGTAAAGCACATAGAGAACTTAACAATATGTGCTATAAGTCTATTATTATTATTATTATTATTATTATTATTATTATTATTATTATTATTATTATTATTATTATTATTATTGGGATTAAATTGAATTGTGATGAATTTCTCATTTGTGATCTAAAGAAATTAGGTGGTACAGTACAATATAATCAGTGGCTTAATGTTTTGTTCCCAAATTAAATTGAGTAGAAAATTAATGCTATCACTTTATTGAGAGTTAAAAGTTAATACACTAGTGTAAATTAATCTGTCATTTCAGTATCAGTAACTACAGTACCTTAAACATTTTTTTGACACAGTACAATAGTTGGATTTAATTAACCATTTCTTCCATCAATATACAACTACAATTATTGCAGTAAACATATGATTGTACAATAGGCTACAGTATAATACCTATAATGTTTTTTTTTTTGGGTTTTTTTCGTGCTTGATTTTGTAGGTTGTTTCTATTTTTCTTTTATACATTTCTGTCAAAGCATCACATTATTGAGAGTAAAATAATAAACCTGGGCTTACAAGCCTGGGCTTACTGGTTTTGTTTCTTTATGCTGGTATACCGATTTTAAATATTTGATTTAATAGTTATATTTGATTTAATTGACTTTATGGGTTGGTTGAACCATGGAGGGAGAAAATACTTCCTCCATGGTTGAACAGAGGCTTGTGTAAATGGATAATGTTTAAATATCATTATCCATTTCTAAGTACCACTCAGCAATATTGTGTTAAATACAATGAGGTATGATACTACCCACACACTCTTTTATTCTTATTGTTCCAAATCAAATATTTGACTCTAAGTAACTGTTCTATAAAGTGTCAATTTTTTATTATTTACCATACCAAATATTATTTTACTTATTATTATTATTGTATATTTATATAGCGCATATCTAAAACTCTATGCGCTTAACAATTCCAAATTAATCGTTAATTGTTAATTAATAAAAAGTTTATTGTTCAAAGAATTGAGAAATCACAATGTGTGATGGTAAACAACACACGGTCTCAAAGGGTCAACCATCCGTCACTGCCCCGGCGCAATCCCAGACCTCTACCTAGGGGGCGCGAACAAAGGAGCAAGTTACACATTTGCCCTGCCACAGACGAATGGGTGCTCGGGGACAGTGACCAAGATAGTGGCCCCTAGAGACAGAGCAGTCACATTTGTAATAAAGAGAAAAAGAGAGTAAGAGAAAAAATAAAATAAACGACTGAAGAAACTTAATATTCATTATTATATATTTTTTGTCTAATTGCCAACACTTGTATAACAATAATAATTTGTTAATATAATATTTGATATGTTTTTAGTGATTAATAAAACTTAGTTGAGTGTGTAAGTTCTGTATATTTCATTAAATGTAAATTAAACAATGATTATTTTGCATTAATTTACTTATTTTGCTGTCCAGACATTGTACATTTTCACTATAGCCAAGGCTGGATTACTCATTTAGCAGTGAAACTGGTAAATTTAATGACACATTGCAACAGATAACAGAATAGTTTCCCAAAAAAAGTTGATAAGATTATGAATAAAATTAAGCAGTGTGACTCAGCAAATTTTTACTGCCAGTAATAACATGAAACTTTAATTTACAGGAAAATAATACAGTAATTACATCTCTTGGCAAAAAATGCACTGCTGTTAAATAAGAGTGGGCATGACTCTGCAAAATTAATAAAATGTGTAAATAACATAATTTTGATTATCAATAATTCTAAATAACATGTTCCACAGTATCTCTATACTTTACAGCAAAATAATAAAATTTTCATGTCTTAGCAATATGCGCTGCTGTATATAAGAGAGGGCCGGTCTGGGGAAACACAACTGCTACTGCCCCAGTTAATTGGACTCGGGGGTATGCTAAAGAGCCCAATGAGGTTGGATGGCAGTGTCCACTTTACAAATTTCTCTACTTAGTAAAATGCATTTCCACATTTTCAAATATCCATAGTAAATCTTATTCTTCCAGAGTTTGTGATAAATTTTAGTATGTTTTGGATAATTAATAGTTATCATTGATTTTTGAACACCATGCGTAGTGGTAACAGTTAGGCTAACGGTTAGCATCATATCATGGATCAGAATACTCTAGTGTGAACCTTGCCAATGTGTAGACCTATTTATAATTCTAGGCTTATTGATGAATTTTTGTAGTATTTTTTGTCTATTTCCATACATCCCTAGGCAAAATTTATATTAGGCCCAATGAAAAAAATTATTAGTTTATCACCCCCGCGCGCATGTCTTCTATGGTACAGTACTGGGGAAAAAAAAAAATTTTTTAAACAATTAAAAAAAAAAAAAAAAAAAAAAAAATTATTTTAATTTTATTAATTTTTTTTATTTATTTTATTCAATAGTTAGTAGATATTGTTTGCATTATCTAAATCATGTTTTACTTTGAATATTAATGCACCAGCAAACAACTTAAGGGTGATATTTGGCTTTAGCAAAAAAAAAAAATATATAAAAAAAAAGCCTCCCTCCCTCATCACTTTTTCTGCCCAGACAGTGTGATAAAACTAATAATATTTTTTATAGGGCCTTACAGAAGTTCCTGTTCCATAGAACTTGAGATGCCTAGAGGAAAACCCTTCAAGCTTTTGGCCTTGCAAATATTTAGATGTACTGTAGGCCTATATCGGTAGTCGTTCAAATTGTATGACATTTTATTTATCACTTTGAATTTTCATTTTTTCCACCCTAGACTAGTGGGTCCAGGCACTAGGGAACTTTCCTATTTTTAGATAACATTATTATCAGTGGCAGATTCAACAGGGGCCTAACCAGCTCGCCCCCTTTCCCCACCCCGAAATTGTTTAAAATTCTTTATAAATGGAGATAAAAAGAAAATTATATTCAAATTTTAAGTCTAAGAGTGCCATATTCCAGCTATCTAGAAGTTCCATCATAAAATTTCCTACTTCAACACGTGGTGGGGCTCAGGTAGTTTATAAACCCTCTATCTGTGAAAATCCTTCCTGGGCCCACTCTATTTCAAATTCCTGGATCTGCCACTGATTATTTATATTATACTCACAGATAATACAGTAGGCCTGTACTTAAGATATTTTGTTCTCACAAATCACTGTAATATTGTTTTCAACAATGGAAAGTTAACAAAAAAAAAAAAAAATCCAGAAATGTTGTTCAGATGTTTAGGTACAGCACATAAATCCCACAAAAAGATCTGATCTAGTCTGAATTAAAATTTGAAAATATTGAAGGAAACTGTAGTAGTTGATTGATTGACTTTCTCATGTGGTTTACTAATATGGTTATGTGGTTTACTAAGGTTAATGTTTTGAAGTGTTGTCAATGAAATATTATAGCAACACATAATTGTCAAAAAAATACAGTTCAGTAGCTCTTAATCTTATGAATGTGAAGAATGCCAAACATTGACGAGATGAAACTAATTAATAAATCAATATATTAAAGGTTAATTTGGATTATACAGTATTGTTGACATTATGATGGAAGTTTTAACAAAAAAAATATTTTGTTTGATGTAATAAAATTAGGGACAGATAATATCACCATGGAGGTAATAAAATCAGTGATTTTATATGTCCATGATTTCACCATCACATTACTTATTCACCTAGATCTAAAACGATACATTACAATAAGAATATTTTAATCAAAGTACTGTATATTATAGAAAATGCAGTTGCAATGCGTTCTTATCCCGCTAATCCAATAAACCACCAATGATAAGAGTACCATTTCTTTCAAGATATTCAGAAGAAATACACCCTAGATACGAATCGATACATTTCAATAAAAATATTTTAATCGATGTATTTGATCTTTAATGACGATTATATAGCAATATAAAAATTTTAATTTGGATATGTGAGAGTTTGTACATGTAGGTTTATCATTCCAAGTGAATTTGTTGAAAGATGTGAAAGGTGGTTTATTCTTCTTCGGTAAACATAAGAGATGAATATATGTCGAATTCACTTAATTTCCTTTGGTTAAAAAAATATTTATCACAAAAATAAATCTTTTAACTACAGATGTATTTGAGACTGTTATTTTAAGAAACATGAAAAACATCTTTTAAGTAAACCAAATATATGCCTACATACTGTTTATGATATGTTTCATACATGTCAGAAAATGAAAGTAGTTGAGCTGTAATTTTTGATGTGTTCAATTAAGGAGGGACTAATACCATGTTGGTGTTAACTGACTTGATTTATTGATTCATTGTAATTCATGGCATTTATCTCATAAATATACGTAACTTCCGTAATGAAGAACAGATCACTTACCAAAACGCAGGTTTGTTTCATTGAATGATTGACTCTGATGAACGTAGGACAGGTTGAGCTTAATTGTGCCGCTGTTTTTTATACCTTGGTGGTGTCGGTAAGTACCGTGGGTTTTATTGTCAGGTAATCAGTTTTTATAGCATAATCGTTTCTGTAATTCTGTTGAATTACGGTAGGGTCTATTATTTTGTTGTGTTTACGGACCCTGAATTAATGCAACCAGACCACGATGTTTGCCATATTCAAGAGACCATTTATTCATCACCAGAGGGCAGCATACACTAATTAAAGTTTGTCAATATCCAACATGTTTATACTAAATCTGAACCTCTTAGGAGACCAGTTATAGGCCTACATAAATTGAAATAAGCATTTTAAGCTGCAGTGGCAGCACCAGTGGGGGAAACCGGACAGGTCAAGTGGACAAAGCTCGTCAGGCAGTCTGACCATAAACATATAAAAAAGGCCCATACCAAGCCAACACATGTTTGTCACAGTCTGAGAGTGCCATTTTCGGCAATCCGAAGGTTGCTATTCTTAAAAAATCTCATTTGGGAGGGTGAACTCTTCCGCCAGCTCAGGCCTAGTAGCTCAAGTCCCCCTTTCGGGCAAGTAGTTCCCCCCTAGAAAATACATTGAACCTAGAGCCGCCACTGATTGTATGAAGTTAATCTTTTGTATAAGGTTAAACTCTGTGAGTTATGTGATGGACTCCTATCATGGTGTGGGTAGTAATTTCAGTCCCACGAGGTGTCACTGTTCATGCGCCATAATTTTAACACACTGACTCACTGGGCAGTGGTAGTGCTGTACATGGTGCACTACTATGAATTGTATCAGTCAGACTCAACAGTTAACTAGTGTACTTATAGCTCTTGTATCAGAGCATGACGAAATTCTTCCCCTTAGAAGAAACGGTCACTGGTGGGTTGGATGATTGATTGCTAATTGTCTGCATGCTGCCTAAACGGCCTTCACAATGAGTAAACAAGACCTTGGTAGTAGGAGAAAATCGGACACAGTTCAGCCAATACTGCTCTAATCATGGTCAAATTTCAGAAAGTATACACAATTTCTGAATCAAATGAATACACATATGTATTGAAAATGACATGGTGTATTGGTGTTTATGCTGGCCTAAATAAATATAAGAATACGATTCTTTCTAGCCTTTATTCTATTTATTTTATGATCGTGTGGCGTACAACGGCAATGTTTACTCACATTCCCGGCTATCCAGGGGATATTCTACAGCTTACAGCTGATGTATTTCAATCTAGGCTCAGAGAGTAGTAAATCTCTATTTTATAGGGCCTGCGAATCGAGCGATGAATATTTAGTTGACAGTTAGAATTTAGGAACAGAGAATAATTCGTCATGTATTAAAATCAAATGCTAAATTGATTTTACAACTGATATTCTGTATCTCCGTTGCATACGACCTACAGACGATTACTCGCTCTCACGGCCAGTGCACAACGTCACGAACGAACTAAACGAGAAGCCCATGTGCTTGAGTGGTGGGCGATTAAGAACCGACCATTTTGCGGCAGGGTATTCATTTTGTATTATAACTATAAATACACATGCCTAAACATTACCACATTTAAGCACGTGCACTAACCGCTATAATACACATGTTTAAATACTATTATAATAAGCTTCACCGGGCACACAATGGTTCGGTCTTGGGATGCCAGTGGGGTAGGCGCTTCAGTTCAATCTTATTATTTTTGTTTGTTATGCACCGTAATTTTCCCGATTTTTAGGTGTGAACACAATTTGTATTTTCTTTTTAATTATACTGTGGTATAGACAAGAAGAACAATTCCCAGTAAACAAATATTTGCGGGAAATTCAGTAGTTGCTTCTGTTCGTTACGGACTGCCAATGCACTTTTTGACATCACACCACACCTAAATATGCGCTCCCGATTATAACTTCTTTTTATTGAAAATGTAGGAATTTGTTAAGAGAGTATTAATTGTTGTAGCCTAGATTGTAGGCTTATTCATTACGTTTGCTGTGCCTGACCATTGTAAACGAAATATCTCTTGCTCACTCTAGATCACTAACCTTCCTAGGCCTAACTACAATACACTAGTACGCGACCTTCGCAGGCCGCCGGCAGCAGGTAATAAATTTTAGGTAAGTAGCGAATCTGTCACCTGACCTGTCACTTGTGACAGGGTGTTGGATGATCGATAACCCGAGTAGGTCGGGTAGCAGGACCGAATTCAGTAAGGGAAGATTTTTGGCATGGAATGCAGTATTTCAACTTATACTGGTTTTGTGTGATGTAGAATGTGAACAGTGTAAGAGTTAAAAGTCTGTCTTACACTCTCATATTTGTCTTCTTTTTGGTCAAAAAACACTTCCATTTCTGTTATGTAGCTCATAGATTTTCTGAAGTTTTTCAATAGAAAGTATATTTTTGTTATTATTTTATTGCCAAATATAAATATAAAATAAAAATTAGACTTCATTTAACAACTACTGAACTGACTGTTAGGGACACAAAAGTGAAGTTCTATATAATATAAATATAAATATATTATAAATATTGTATTGTTATTGCTTATGTTGATATTTCTACAATATAAATTACTCATAATCATGCAGTCAAAAACAATACCGGTAGGCAAATCAGAAGCTACTGATCCAATAAACAACTTTGCGTATAATCCATGTAACACATTTCTGTGATATTTGAAGTGGAACAGGAAGCCATAAAACTTGAATAAACAAACTTTCAATGCTCAAAACATCTTGTTTTCAGCATGTCAGGAATTTTATGGGTGTGTATTGATATTATGTCACTGATTAATACAACACTTGCACAATCTGACTCACTTGAGTTTGGGGAGTGGGATAAAAACTTTACTGAGAACCCGGATGACCCTCAATCGGACATGAGGAATGACAAGAAAACTGTATGACAACTGCACTAGATCCAGGGGAAGACAATTTTTTTTACGGACATTGCCAGTTTGATTTTGATATGTTGCTCAACAATTGATCAAACCAAACTACTGTTGTAGTATTCCAAATATTTTTTAGACAAGGTAACATAAAACATTAACATAAAAACATTTTGTAGGTCTTTCTTTCTTTTTTGTCTATTGTGTATTTGTCAATCATGTCATATATAGGAATTTAGCAAATGTCCTATACCAAGTTAACATTATTTTTTTATACTTTATACTATTGACACCATTTTAATAATTATTTGCTTACTGAAAAATGGAGTCTACTAGTGAGAAAATATGAATTCCTTTCATTTTTTCTGGAATGACAGTGGAAAAACATACGCTTCAGTAGCATACTGGCCTACTGCCATAGAGGACACTAATCAGTTATTTCCTGTTGTGTGTATTAAAGCATTGTAAGTAAATCTTGTCATAAGCTATAAGGTTTTCATCTTGGACCATATAAAAATTAATTCACACTCCTATTCCCTTCACTCACTCAGAATGTTATAGTAACTAATTTTCTTACAAACCATGGTAGTAGGACCATCATAACATACTTTTAAAAAATAAATTCATTACCAGAGTTTTAGACACAACCAGAAACCCAGTTTGGGATTATAATACAGTAATTACATCTCTTGACAATAAATGCACTGCTGTCAAATAAGAGTGGGCATGACTCAAAATTAATAAAATGTGTAAATAACATAATTTTGATTATCAATAATTCTAAATAACATGTTCTACAGTATCTCTATACTTTACAGCAAAATAATACAGTTTCATGTAATATCTGCTACTGCCCCAGTTACATGGACTCAGGGTTATGCTAAGAGCCTAATGAGGTTGGATGGCAGTGTCCACTTTACAAATTTCTCTACTTAGTAAAATGCATTTCCACATCTTCAAATATCCATAGTAAATCGATTTTTACCTCTTATTCTTCCAAAGTGTGTGATAAATTTTAGTATGTTTTCGGATAATTAATAGTTTAATATCATTGATTTTTTAAATCATTGAGATGCCTAGAGGGCAAGCCTGTAAGCAAACAGTTCAGTAGATCTTGTGAATGTGAAGAATGCCAAACATTGACGAGATGAAACTGATTAATAAATCAATATATTAAAGGTTAATTTTGATTATAATTGTTGACATTATGATGGAAGTTAAACAAAAAATATTTTATTTGATATAATAAAATGAGGGACTGAGACAATATCGCCATAGAGGTATAAAATTTGTAATTTTATACCTCCATGATATCACCATCATTATATATTTACCTAAATATAAAATGATACATTTCAATAAATTTATCTTAATCAAAGTATTTGATCTTTATTTAATGAAAAGATTATATAGCAAAATAATAATTTAAATTTGGATATGTGAGCGGTTGTTAAAAGGTTTATCATTCCAAGTGAATTTGTTCAAAGATTTGGAAAGGTGATTTTTTTTTTTCTTTTTTGGATAACGTATGAGGTTGATATCACGGTCGATATGTCAACTTAATACTTCTTTGTCCTTTGATTAGAAAAATATTTCACAAAAATATAAGATATCTAGCTGGGTAAATCCTTTTATTGGAGAGGTATTTGATTAAAGAGAGACCTGTAATTATAAGAAACATGACACATACTTTTTGTGATGTTTTTGTTTACTTACAAGAATTTTTCCATGTATAATACAATACATGAAACCAGATGAAACTAGTTAGCTCTACTTTTAACTTTTGATGTGTATCAAGCCTAGAGAGGGCAGTATTAAATGTATTAGTATACTCTGGTTGTGTGTAATACAGAACGTCAACACTTGCACAATATGACTCACATGGATTTGGGGAATGGGGTAGAACCCGACCGACCCTCAACTAACTGATACTAGATCCAGGGGATTTTTTTACAGAGAATGCCAGTTTGATTTTGATTTGATTTGTTTCTCATTGTGTATTTGTCAATCATGTCATAAAGGCATTCAGCAAATGCGCTATACCAAGTTGACATTATTTTTTTATACGTCTTTATACTATTGACACCATTTCAATTATTTGGTGTACGGTAAGAATGGCCCCGGAAAAAATTGCCCCGGAAAAAATGGCCCCGGAAATAGAGGCCCCGGAAAAAAT